CTGTTCAGGTATATGCTTATTTTTGATACTTGTGGTCTTATTATTATTTTTTATTATTTATTTTTGTTATGGTAATTTAACGGTTTTGTGGTTGTTTATGGACTGTTTAGGTATTTGAGTTGGGGAGATAGTTGTCTTGGCTAAGCAATCTAGGTGTGCAGGATTTATAGTTGAACTCCAGACAAATATAACACACACACTAATGCAAGTCTTTGTTTTTAATAGTCATTTAAATGTTATTTAAAAAAAAAAATAACTTTTTTTTTTTGTTTTTTAATGCAAGTGGTATAAATACCTAAATTTTTCATGGGGAGGTTCCCCCTGTTCCCAGGACCTCCCCTCTGTTCCCAGGACCTCCCCTCTGTTCCCAGGACCTCCCCCCCCTGTTCCCAGGACCTCCCCCCCCTGTTCCCAGGACCTCCCCCCCCCCCCTGTTCCCAGGACCTCCCCCCCCTGTTCCCAGGACCTCCCCTCCTAGAGACACAACAGGAAGTGAGAGGAAATGTCTTCGAAGGGAAATCCTTCTCCTTGAGAGTTGTTACCAGAACAGGTGTCCACTTTGGAAGATTTCTTCTAGTTTTCTGTTCTGGTGACAACTGTGAAATTTAGATTTTCCTCCCACTTTCTATTTAAAAAAAACAAAAGGTATTAAAAAAATTATTAAAATATCATATTACAAAAAAATGGATTTCGATTGTTTGTTTATATGTTTTCAGATGTTCAGCAAATCAAGAAAAAAAAAATAGAATTGTGGATCTATAGCCTTGAAAAGTGTATGGAGAGAGATGGATAGAGAGAGATCCCCCTTTATATATAGAGAGAGATGGATAGAGCGAGAGATCCCCTTTATATATAGATAGAGCGAGAGATCCCCTTTATATATAGAGAGAGAGAGATCCCCTTTATATAGAGAGAGAGAGAGATCCCCTTTATAGAGAGAGAGAGAGAGATCCCCTTTATATATAGAGAGAGAGAGAGATCCCCTTTATATAGAGAGAGAGATCCCCCTTTATATATAGAGAGAGAGAGAGATCCCCCTTTATATAGAGAGAGAGAGAGATCCCCCTTTATATATAGAGAGAGAGAGATCCCCTTTATATAGAGAGAGAGAGAGATCCCCTTTATATAGAGAGAGAGAGAGATCCCCTTTATATAGAGAGAGAGAGAGATCCCCTTTATATAGAGAGAGAGAGAGAGATCCCCTTTATATAGAGAGAGAGAGAGATCCCCTTTATATATATAGAGAGAGAGAGAGAGATCCCCTTTATATATATAGAGAGAGAGAGAGATCCCCTTTATATATAGAGAGAGAGAGATCCCTTTTATAGAGAGAGAGATCCCCTTTATAGAGAGATCCCCTTTATATAGAGAGAGAGAGAGATCCCCTTTATATATAGAGAGAGAGAGAGATCCCCCCTTTTATATAGAGAGAGAGAGAGAGATCCCCCCTTTATATATATAGAGAGAGAGAGAGATCCCCCCTTTATATATAGAGAGAGAGAGAGAGATCCCCCCTTTATATATAGAGAGAGAGAGAGATCCCCCCTTTATATAGAGAGAGAGAGAGAGATCCCCCCTTTATATAGAGAGAGAGAGAGAGATCCCCCCTTTATATATAGAGAGAGAGATCCCCCTTTATATAGAGAGAGAGAGATCCCCCCTTTATATAGAGAGAGAGAGAGATCCCCCCTTTATATAGAGAGAGATGGCTATAGAGAGAGATCCCCCTTTGTATAGAGAGAGATGGCTATAGAGAGAGATCCCCCTTTGTATAGAGAGAGATGGCTATAGAGAGAGATCCCCCTTTGTATAGAGAGAGATGGCTATCGAGAGAGATCCCCCTTTGTATAGAGAGAGATGGCTATAGAAAGAGATCCCCTTTTATATAGAGAGAGATCCCCCTTTATATAGAGAGAGATGGATATAGAGAGAGATTCTCCCCCCCCCCCCCCCCCCCCCAGATATTACCATGTAAAAGTAGCAGTGACATCAGTACTGTGCTGTACATATCCTGAGCAGAGCAATAGGAGGGGCCCAACAAGCCCCACCCAGTACAGAACTACAGGAGGGGGTGGAGATGAGAGCAATCACCTGCTCAAGGAGAGAGCGCAGCAGTGAGCGGTCTTTTATTAGAGGCTAAAGCCTCACACTGGATTACTGCCCAGATCTGGAAGAAATATACCAAGCACCCCAAGATCCCAGGGATAAGAGACGAGTTCATACATATATATATTGAAGGCAGGGACATAATTCCAAAAAAGAGAACCATGCGTGCTTAGAGGAAAAGTCGATCGCAATCAATGGTGACCCTACCAAAGCACAGAAGAATATAAAAACAAATAGTGCAGCGCTACAAATACAGTGAGGAACAGAAGTATTTGAACCCCCTGCGATTTTGCAAGTTCTCCCACTTAGAAATCATGGAGGGGTCTGAAATTCACATTGTAGGGGCATTCCCACTCTGAGAGACAGATCCGATCTGATCAGCGTACCCGGCAGCGTGACAGCATGTAGGCTCCTTTCTAACGCGTTTCGTGCACACACATGTCCTCAAAGAGAACTGCCTCCTGTGAGGGAACCGCCTCCTTACAGAGATGGCCGCCTATCCAATCAACTGATCCGGTGGCATGAGGTCAGCACGAAGGCTCCTGCCTAATGCGTTTCGTGCACACGCATGTCCTCAAAAGGAACCACCTCCTTACAGAGATGGCCACCGATCCGATCAACGTACCCGGCAGCGTGACATCACGTAGGCTCCTCCCTAACGCGTTTCGTGCACATGCACGTCCTCAAAGGGAACTGCCTCCTGTGAGGGAACTGCCTCCTTACAGAGATGGCCGCCGATATGATCAACGTACCCGGCAGGGTGACCGCATGTAGGCTCCTCTCTAACGCGTCTCGTGCACACGCACGTCCTCAAAGGGAATTGCCTCCTTACAGAGATGGCCGCCTATCCGATCAACTGATCCGGCGGCATGAGGTCAGCACGTAGGCTCCTGCCTCATGTGTTTCATGCACATGCATGTCCTCAAAGGGAACCACCTCCTTACAGAGATGGCCACCGATCCGATCAACGTACCCGGCAGCGTGACAGCACGTAGGCTCCTCCCTAACGCGTTTCGTGTACATGCACGTCCTCAAAGGGAGCCTCCTCCTGTGAGGGAACCACCTCCCCTTATAGAGATGGCCGCCTATCCGATCAACTGATCCGGCGGCATGAGGTCAGCACTTAGGCTCCTTTCTGCACACGCACGTCCTCCAAAGGGAACCGCCTCCTTGGCTCACCTTCAACATTATACACTAGCACTTTGATTGGTCATATATATTTGTTGCAATAGTTTATTCAGTCTTTTGCTACATTTTGAGCGCAATTTGCACGTTTTTATATTGTTTTGTATGCACTTTGTCACTTGTGATTGCAATATTTGAGTTTGAATTTATTATCCTTTTTAGGAAAATAATTCTGCTTGTAACAAAAACTCTGTATATTGTGTTCATCCTAGAAAAGCACACTGATCAATAAAATGAACGGTTTCATTATCAGTGAAGTGACACTTTTAAGTGCTTATATGCTAATGTCGGCACACCAAGCTTCAAGGAAGAATACACCGAATGAACGGATTTGGGTATTCGCTTTCTGGAGTGGAGCGGTACGCGGGCGGCCATCGATGAGCTCCGGTACTTGCCTGGACAGGTTCCTATGTGCGTGTACTGTGCGCGTGCTAATTGTGTAATCTCCTGTTACAGGAAACCTTAATCTAATCCTCTCTGAGTTGGGATCGGTGAGCACACTGCAGTCCGGTCCCACGCCGCGGCCATAGAGCTGACTTTGCTCTCAGAGGCTGGAAAAGCAGAGAGTCTGTTTTTATATTCACTCTTTTCCCCCCTCCGCAGGATGACGGTACAGAGGGGACAGGACGTGTCCTGCCTGCTGGGAATTCCGCTCACCGGACTCAGCGCACCGCACTCATGTCATCACTACAAGAACAGAATGACAGGCCGCCTCCCCTTCATTCGTTTTAACTCTTTAGTCATTCTGTTATCTTTTTGCATTCAATTCTGTTTTGTGTTCAACCACTTGCCTTGCAGAGGATTTCCCTCCCTTCCTGACCAGGCCATTTTTTTGCCATACGGCGCTGCGTTACTTTAACTGACAATTGCGCTGTCATGCAACACTGTACATAAATGAAATTTGTCATTTTCCAACGAATGGAGCTTTCTTTCGGTGGTATTTGATCGCCTCTGCGGTTTTTATTTTTTGCTCTATAAACAAAAAAAGACTTTTGACTTTAAACAAAAAAAACGACTTTCAAAAATAATTTTTTGAAAAAAAAAACAATATTTTTGACTTTTTGCTATTAAACCTATCTGGTAAAAAAAATGTAAAAATCAAATTTCTTCATAAATTTAGGCCAAAATGTGTTCTGCTCCGTGTCTTTGCTAAAAAAAAGAATCCCAATACAGGTACCCGGCTTACGAATTTAATGCGTTCTCCGGGACGTTTCGTATTGCGAGAAATTCATAAACCGAAACGCGGTCTCGCATAGGAATGCACTGAAAAACAATCTGTTACGGAGGTCAGAAACATGTCTTATCTGTTTATAACTCTTTATAAAGTGCACTTTAAAGGCATAAATACTGTACAGGGACATGATTAAAAATGAATTCGTAAATGCATTGAAAACCAATTAATCCGTTCCGGAGGTCACAAAAAAGTCAGTTTTATCTGTTCAGAACTCTTCATAAAGTGCACTTTAAAGGCACGGGGCCGGCGCTACAAACCTCCCAGGCGCAATGCATCCTGGGGAAACTTCGTATTGCGAAAAAAAATTCATAAACCGAGGCATTATTTTCAATGGATTTTCATTTGTAAACCGAAAAATGACGTTAATTGAGGCGTTCGTAAACCGAGGTACGCCTGTACGTGTAAATTAATTGGTTTACGTGAAAGTTATAGCGTCCTACAAATGGTGGTATATATATACACTGGGATTTACATTTTTTTTTTTTCTATAGTGGTGATCAGCTACTTATAGCGGGACTGCGACGGGCATTCTGTCACTGGGGGGGAGAACTGACTTGGGGTCACTGACATCCCCAGTGACACCAATACAGTGATCAGTGCTAATAAAAAGCACTGACTCTGTAAAAAAGGCACTGGGCAGGAAGGGGTTAACATGTGGTGTGATCAAAGAGTTAACTGTGTGCTTCACTGTAAGCACACTGCTTTGGATGGCTGTGCTATGCAGAGCCATGCAAAGCAGTGTGCAGGAGCTGACGGGAGAGATCTGTATTGTTTACAAATGGCACTGGGCAGGAAGGGGTTAACATGAGGGGCGATCAAAGGGTTAACTGTGTGCTGGGAGTGGTTTACTTCAGAGACATGCTGCTTTGTATTGCGCTGCTGTGCAGAGCAATACAAAGCAGCATGTTGATGCTGACGGGAGAGATCTGTGCTTTTTACACACAGACCTCTCCCCTGTCAGCTCCGCCAACTATCACCGTGCCCCGACTGAGAATCAGCGGCCGGGACCCGGTGATTGGTATGCCAAAGAGCCAATAGCGGCACAGGTAGGGAGTGCGCGTGCCCGCTACCCAAAAATGCAAATATATATATATATATTGCATCCTTGCTGCCCTGTACTTCTTCTGCTATAGGGCATTTGGGAAGCGGTTAAATCTGACCTCCATCCTCTAGTTGTAGCGGCTCCTCTCCTGGACTCAGTTGGCTTCCTCTGTTGTCACCGCACACTGTGAGTTTCTCACAATGTGCATTAGAAGCTGCAGCAAGTCACATAGAGCTCCGCCTCATTTCTTGGCTTGTGGGGCGTCCAGCATCCACCCTTTCCTCCCCAACCTCGCCCCTTTCCCCCCCAACCTCGCCCCTTTCAGTCCTCTCAATCACGGAGGCTCTATTACCTGTGGGAATCCCCTGGGGCAGGGGGAGGCGACCTTAGAGGTGGGGATCTACCTGAACAACATGGGAGAAGTCGGAGATCGCCGGGCGCAGTGTCGCCTCTAAATGACTGATTTAAACCTCTAATTGCCGTAGTACAATGTCACAATCATGTGCAATCATGGGATTATCAACAGGTGAGGAGGCAACAAATCACCTTCTCTCTACCTGTCAGATCACTCTTCAGAGGAACAGCAATACCTGCTACACTTGTGAATGAGCCATTAGTTGCGTTCAGCAGCGGAACCCTTAGGGCTCGTTCACACTAAAGTAAAGTTGGGGGGGTAAAACCCTGTGGTTGAGCTGCGGTTTTGCTGCCTCCAGTCCCCACACCCTTTAGCTGCTGAGGTGTACACGTGTCGCAGCAGGAATTGGATCCCCTGTTGATTTTGATGGGTGTTACTGCCTGCCAATCATGACCCATTCAGGTCTACAAGCGCCCTGCAAATGCATGCTTCTGTGGGGTCCAAGGGGTTAAAGCAGGTGGTGAGAAAGCAACACAATGCTGCCTGCTTTAACCCCTAGTTTGCTGTACTGCACAAGGTTGCGGGGCGCTTGCGGTGCAGCCTCATTGTATCCTGTGGGTGTGGTGCACTTTCTGAAAGAGCACCAAAGCGCCTGCATTCAGGAGTTTGGGTGCAATTTCAGGGGGTGCACCAAGGAAGATATGGTGGAGGATTGTGGCTAAGCATGGCAAACCCACGGGAGGGCTGCAGGTGCACTGCTCTGCCCCCGCGGTGTGGGTGGGCGGGCCGGCCTCGGCGTGACAGCAGGCCTATACTATTGCTTCACACTGACCTGAAGAGCTCTTCTTTCCTGCTGCCGGAGCCATTCTGGAGACCACGAGCCGGGATGAGAGGTGGAGAGCAGTTGGGATCACTCCACATGGGACAGGAGCCGGCACTACAGAGGAGGCGTCAGCTTATGTGGCCCTTGCTCCCTACTACAGCTCCAACTTTACAAGTCATCCCTCTGCTTTGCACTCTGTTTGATGCTCTGGGATGGCGGGTCAGCAAGCCCAGACCGTCATCTACCAGTCACCTGGCTGCGGGCTGTTAAACTTCGCCCTAGGGCAGTCTGTAGTCTGCCTAGGAACACCCACTCTTCCAAACTGCCACCTACCAATCAAGGTGCTTTGATATTTGCATTACCTCCACCCAAGATCCAAGCCTCCATCCCATATCCTCCATCCCATGTCCTCCTCCTCCATCCCATGTCGTCGTCGTCCTCCATCCCATGTCGTCGTCGTCCTCCATCCCATGTCGTCGTCGTCCTCCATCCATCCCATGTCGTCGTCGTCCTCCATCCCATGTCGTCGTCGTCGTCGTCCTCCATCCCATGTCGTCGTCGTCGTCCTCCATCCCATGTCGTCGTCGTCGTCGTCCATCCCATGTCGTCGTCCATCGTCCGTCGTCGTCGTCGTCGTCGTCAGTCCATGTCGTCCCATGTCGTCGTCGTCCATCCCATGTCGTCGTCGTCCATCCCATGTCGTCGTCGTCCATCCCATGTCGTCGTCGTCCATCCCATGTCGTCGTCGTCCATCCCATGTCGTCGTCGTCGTCCATCCCATGTCGTCGTCGTCCATCCCATGTCGTCGTCGTCCATCCCATGTCGTCGTCCTCCATCCCATGTCGTCGTCGTCGTCCATCCCATGTCGTCGTCGTCGTCCATCCCATGTCGTCGTCGTCGTCGTCCATCCCATGTCGTCGTCGTCGTCGTCCATCCCATCGTCGTCGTCGTCGTCCATCCCATGTCGTCGTCGTCGTCGTCCATCCCATGTGTCGTCGTCGTCGTCGTCGTCCATCCATGCCCCATGTCGTCGTCGTCGTCGTCGTCCATCCCATGTCGTCGTCGTCGTCGTCGTCGTCCATCCCATGTCGTCGTCGTCGTCCATCCCATGTCGTCGTCGTCGTCGTCGTCCATCCCATGTCGTCGTCGTCGTCCATCCCATGTCGTCGTCGTCCTCCTTCACCTGTCCCATCCAGGCAGTGGGACAGGTGCGGAAAAATGTGACGGGAGGTGGGGCACTGGGACAGGAGAGGGGCATGTCACAGGTGAAGAGCAATGGGACAGCAGGTGGGGAAGCACCGGTCCTCCCAGCTCTCACCTTTCCAGCAGTGGCTCCTCCAGATGGTGTCGGAGGATCTGGTACCAAGGGGGGTAGCTGAGCTTGTGCCCCATCTCCACCATACTCTCCAGCGGCAGCTGCAACAAAGAGAGTGGGGGGCTCCTCCACCCTGACCGCATCCTTTTCCTTTTCTTCCTCCTCTTCCTTCACTGGGCCCTCAGCTGGCACCCCCTAGCTTCACCCATCCCACACAGCCTGTCACACACTGTAGTCCCTGATCGGAGCCCGCCTGACATAGGACCCTGACCACTTTCTGCACACACCTGGGATCCACCTCCACCGGTCTGTTCTGACAGCTGCCCTGTGTTGAAGATGGTCCTGGTTGGGGCCTGGGGTTATCCTGGGTCCCCTACATGTGTATCGGCTAACCCACCCCCGAAGGCGGCCCTGTTCCCACCAGCCATACAATGCCTGCTTTGCATAGAGAGGTGCAGACACCCAGTGACGATGCCATGGAGAAGCAGCGGGGACCCAGCGACCGCCGCCATGGCGCAGCGCGGAGACCCAGCGACCGCCGCCATGGCGCAGCGCGGAGACCCAGCGACCGCCGCCATGGCGCAGCGCACCCAGCGACCGCCGCCATGGCGCAGCGCGGAGACCCAGCGACCCAGCGACCGCCGCCATGGCGCAGCGCGGAGACCCCCTATGCTCACTATGCAGCAAGACAGCTGCTTGGTGCTGAACCCGGCACACAGTTTGGATCGTTTGTAGTAGTGCAGAGGCTAGTACACAGATTCCCGGCCTCTACAGGGATCAGCCAGGTATGGAATATGGTCCCTTTTTTAGTCCAACCTGAATCAATGTAAAGACCTTTACCTGGAATTGAGCTTTAAAATCCCAGGGTGTGGTCAGCACTTGATGAGATTCAACAACCGCCGTACCACTGCCGACATCACTTGGATCACACCTCTTCCAGGTTCACATATTTGGTAGGACAACAGAACCTCTTGACCATGTTGGCATCCTTGGTTTTCCAGCTTGTGTTAATGGGAGTGTTGCTCCCTTTTATATTCTCATATATGCATTGTAGATCCTCAGTAGCATCTCGAAATTTTACAGCATTCCAGACACCTCCTGGTTCTCTCTAGAATTCACATTGAGATGTTTTCTTGGCCAATCAGAATGGCGCACACTGCAGCGATGTAGAAAACATTCGTTCTCCAGAGGTTCCCAGCTGATATGAAGAATACGTTGAACCTGGGAAAGTCATAAAACGTCTCGGCACACAGTAACCTGAACGCCGCCATCTCCTGTCCTCAGATGACTCCCGGCTAAAGTTCAGCCAGACCAGACCCAGCTGCGTAGAGACGCCCGACGGGGGCGTAGGAAGGGGGCTCAGAGTCTGACGAATAATTCATGGCAATCAATATCTCTACAGAAAATGCACGTTTGGAGGTTTTCAAGGGGGGATTCATCAGAAAACGATTTTCTCTGAACTGAGCAATTTCATTAGCGTGGAAGGTGACCTCCAAAACTCCTTTTTTTTTTTTTTTTTTATACCATTTGACGTTTGGACTTGCATCCTATGTCGCTTGTGCACGTTTCAAAGCTTTCCATTCCCGCAGTGTCATCTGGTCCCCTGATTTATGGCTGTACTTTCTGGTGCAAGGGTGGATCCTTCACTTGCAGGGTCCCACCGTAGCCACCTCCAACAGGGACAGGCAACCCAACAGCACTAAAGGTGGCCATACACTACAATCTGATTGTGCAACCTCTGTATTATCTTGGTTTCATTTACTGAAAATATATCAAAGGAGGACACATCTAAAATATCCAATCAATCTGTATCTGGTCTGGCACACCATTGCACTGCATAGTTGCTAGAAGATCTAAAGGAGATATTACCTTGTAAAAGTAGCGGTGACATAATCACTATGCTCAGGGGCGTCCCTAGGGTTGGTGTCACCCGGTGCGGTAACACTTGGTGACACCCCCTCCGACCAATTCCGCAGAGTGGATGGGATCTGCGGATTGAGCATAATGGATTGGAGTCCAATCCATTACGCTCCCCAATCCTCAGATCCCATCAATCCTGCGGGGATCGTCGGCATTCAACCTATACGGGGTGACACCGAACCCGCTCCACGAAAAGGTAAGTTGTAAAGAAAACCAATGATCCCTGCAGAATGGATCGGATCTGCGAACTGAGCATAATGGATCGGTCTCTGATCCATTATGCTCCCCAATCCGCAGATCCCATCAATCCTGCGGGGATCGTCGGCATGCAACATATACGGGTTGACACCGGACCCGCTCCACGAAAAGGTAAGTTGTAAAGAGAGCCAATGATCCCTGCAGGATGGATCGGATCTGCAGATTGAGCATAATGGATCGCACTCCGATCCATTATGCTCCCCAATCCTCAGATCCCATCCATCCTGCGGGGATCGTCGG